TTATCTATCAATTCTTTAGTAAGTAAGGTCTGAAGTTTCAGTTGACTATGCACAGAATTTGCGTTCTTTTGTAATTCATGAAGTGCATTATTAATTTTGATTTCGTCATCTGAGTCCATTGTACCAAAAAGAAGCTTTGAAGTTTTTCCTACGAGATTAATCAATCCTCGCTTCTGACGAATACGTGGAACAATGTTATCTAATTTTTTCGTAGCTTCTTGTATTAGAAATTCCGTATGCTTAAGGAGATTTGATAGTCCAAAGTGAAAGTCTGAATGATCAGCATTTAAAGGCTTGAGAGTATTTTGGAGTCTTTCGTAGTAATTTTGGATATTCGTAATCTGTCTTGTTAATGCAGAAGTTTCTACAAAGTGATCAAAAGTATGATAAGATTCTATAATACTAGCGTTACCTAGCGAATAAGGGAAAAGCGGGGCTTTTAAGGGTGTGACAATTGCGTCATTGTTGGCTTTGATTGTCGTGACTAGTAGAAGGGGTAGAATGACTATCGGAATCTTCTTGAGTTCCAGATTCATGACCTTGCGGAAAAGAAGAATAAGCTTTAGGTTTTTGAACTTGAGATTTGTGTACTAAACCCGTTTATTTGTAGTCCGTACTTTGGTACCTAAATCTTTCTTAACTTCAGTTTTTGTGAATCGTGGTTTAAATTTACTCCAAGAAGCGGTTTTATCTTTGACATATGCTTTTGAACCTTGGGGAAATTTGGATGGATCCTCTCTAGTTTCATTACGCTTTTCTATAATATTCTTTTTATGAGCGTCTGTTTGGTGTATATTGTTGTAAATAAATTTTACTCTTTCACGTCTATCATCAATAAATTGGCTGACAATGATCTCATCTGATAGGTCAAATGGATCCAGGACATTTATAAGGTCGAATGGTCGTTGTTTTGTAACACTGTGAATTGACGTGTTATATGCCAGAATTTGTTGTTGCATTAGTTCTTTTGGACATAATTTTGGAAATTTGATTTTTAGAATAGAGTTCTAGGAGAGTTGAATGTAATCGTTCTATGGGACTGTTGCTGTTCGAATTACATGGTGTAGTAAAGTGAAGCTAGATTTTGTGTAATTTACAAAATTCTGTAAATAAGGAATTATTGAATTCTCTTCCATTATCAGTAGTAATTGACTGAGGAATGCCGTGATGGTTCACAAATATCAAAATATTTTCATACACTGTTGTGGCTGTACAAACTGGATCTAAATGATAAGCTTGTGCATATTTTGAAAATGAATCAATAACAGTAAGAAATTTTGTGTTAGAAAATTGAAGTGTCCAAATGTAAGACTTCTAGGGGTTGCTTCGGCATTGGTGTGAGTAAAAATTTTATTTTTGGTGGATGTCTGTCATACCTTGCTACTTGGCATAACTCACAATTATTTATGTATTCTGTTACCATTTTTTGCATATTTTTCCAGTAGTATAGTTTTTTAAGGGAAAGTAACGTTTCGTTAATTCCTCTGTGACAAGTCTTTGTTTCAGGATGATGAGAAATTAATTCTTTTTGTCTCTCTTTGTCTGAAACATCTCTAACAAGCTGATTGGAAAAATAAAGTTTATATGCGTGGTTTTTGAAATACAAAGGTATTTTGCTAATCTGGATATCTAAATCTTCAATTTATGAACCTTTGATAAAACTGCAATATACTTTGTTTGGATCAACATAGTCTTTGAAAAACTTCATGATTTCTTCCTCTATGTTATCGCTAAGCTGTAACTGTATTTTATTGACATTTTCGAAGGGCTTAGTCCTTACAATGTGATATCGATAAGATGATTTCTGTTCAGTAATTATCTGATTAAAAAATTTATTAGTAACATATTCAGTGAAAGGTATCTCTAATATGGGGTTTTCTACTGCTGTATGGACTGTAATACTGTCATCATTTGGCTGAGGGGGTACAATTTGGATATCCGAAATTATTTTTATCTTGTTAGAGTTATCAGGAACTTCAGGGGTGAGAAATTCCTCTAGTTCTTGTAAGTCTTTAATATTCATTTCGGGGTTATCATCGTCTTGTAGAAACTAAAGAACATCTTCATCAGAATCTCCAGGATTTGCAATTATTGATTGATCTGTTTCATCTTCAAACAGTTTCCAACGCTAAAGTCTGGGGTTATGTTCTTTCATGTTAAACAAATATTCGAGGGGTTTATGGTCGCTAACTATGGTAAACTCACGTCCCCATGGTTTGAAGTATTTCACACCTTATACTATTGCTAATAAATATTTTTCTATTGTACTATAATAATTACATTCTGTTGGATTTAGAGTTTGTGATGCATAGGCAAACGGTCGATCCTGACCTACTTTTCCTTGGCTAAGAATACAACCTATTGCGTAATTTGAGGCATCAGTAGTTAAAACAAAGGGCTTTTCAAAATCCGGGTATTGTAAAATAGGTTCGTTGGTTAGAATATTTTTGCAAGTTTCAAAGGCTTTTATAAATTCTGTAGTATGTTCAATTTTTGCTCCTTTCTTAAGACATTTCGTAAGTGGTTTTGTTAATTTGGCAAAATTTTCAATAAAGCATCTATAATAACCTAAAAGACCTAGGAAGGATTTGATTTCTTTAACTGTTTTTGGAATGGGGAATTGTGTTATTGCTTGTATCTTTTTGGGATTCGGTTTTACACCATCACAAGTAACTACGTGCCCTAAATATTCAACTTCTTTGCATAAAAATTCTCATTTGTCTGGTTGAATTTTCAATTGTGTGTCCCTTAATCTCCGAAATACTAATTTCAAATTTGCAATATGTTCTTCAAGACTAGTGGAAAAAATTATAATATCGTCCATATACACTAGACAAACTTTGCCTTGTAGTCCGTGTAAAATATTGTCAACTACTCTCTGAAATGTACTTGGGGCATTTTTCAAACCGTATGGTAAGCGGGTATACTCGTAATGTCCATGTTCTACACTAAATGCGGTTTTTTCGATAGAATTTGGATGCATCTCTATTTGATGAAATCCGGAAGCTAAATCTAAAGTACTGAAGTATTGACATCTACCTAACTTGTCCAATACATCGTTAATATTAGGTAATGGATATCGATCACTCATTGTTTTTTCGTTAAGCTTTCGAAAATCTGTCACTATTCTCCATTTTGTTTCCCACTAGCATACATCTTCTTACTAACGATCCAGATAGGTGAGCTATAAGGACTTGGACTAGGACGTATAATTCCATCATCTAACATTTTATTTATCTGTCTTTGAACTGCCTCTTTGTGAAAAAAAGGATAACGATAATTTTTTGTATGTACTGGAATTTCATCAGTAGTTTTTATTTCATGTTTTAGTTCACTAATAATATCCTCAATATGAAAAATATAAAAGTTATCACTAACTTCTTTACAATATTCGATTACGTCTATCGGATCAGAAAAATCTATTGTTATTTGTTCATCTAAATAGTTATGAACTTCTGTATAAGCAAACCAGTCATTCGAATTAATCAAGGTCTCAGGTAAATATAAGCCATTTATTTCACCTTCAGGGATTATAACAGGGCTATTATTAATGCTCACAGGAACTTTGATAAGAGCTACCTCGTGTGCATTTATCGTTATGCTATATGGTTCAGTGTCAAGTTCACGGAAAAATATGGGAATACGCAATGACTCACTAATTAAAAGTTGATTAGTGAGGTCTATGTTGACATTTAAACGTAATAGTTGTTTTAATCCTAATATGCCGTCAAAAAATGGATGGAAATCAAATAAAATGGAAGTGATAAAATCATCTGATTGAAATTCTGGGAATGATGACAGAACGGCTTTAAATTGAACTTCTTTTTCTCCTACGCGTGTCTTTAATCTTGAAACTTTGGCAAGCGATAAGGGCGATACGATCGGATTGACACACAGTCCTGGGACACACAGTCCTCCACTTAGGCAATTTTAAGCACACAGCAGCCTATGTGATCAACATAGTTTTAAGCAAACAGCACGCTATGTGATATCCAGGCGTATAGACAGATATGCTGAGCTTAACGATTATTACTAAAAAGATAGTCCAGGAACCGGGATATCACGTTGGCCAACGGCCGTTGTGTCAATACCCCAAATCTCCGACGTTACCCCTAAATCAGAGATGACCGAGCAAGATGACCATTTAAAGTAAAAATCCCTTCACACATGCTGTCATGGGATTCATTCAGATGCCAGCGATTGCCAAGAGAAGATGGTTAAGCGGTCATTCATTACACCTAGGACGCCACTTCGGCCAAAGGCCACCGCGTCAACATCCCAAGCGCTCCGTCGTTTTCCCTGATAGAGGAAACCGAGCAGTCATTAACACAACCACCTAAACTCAGCGGTCGGGTACTGAAAGTCCCATAAAACAACCCCCAGAGACTGGAGGCGTCACCCCTGTATGAGCCACCTAATTTCCCTATCCTTATCCGCAATTATTGAGTCCGTAAGCCAATGATAGAAATATGAATATATGATCAAGCCTCGTTATAATTACGGATATATAATCAAAGCATCTTTGTAAATATGAATATGCTCAAAGTATGTTTATAACTTGGTTTATACGATCAAAGCTTCTATATAAATATGGCTTACGACATTAATGATCATGTATATAAAAGTATTATGGTTATCAATCCATGCAGTACAGTAGAATAAAGGAAACACTTACTGATTGCTCACCTTTCGTTATCGTTGTCGTCATTATTGTTATCGTTATCGTTATTATCGTTATCGTTATTATCGTTGTCGTTATCATCATTATCGTTATCGTCATTATCGTTATCGTTATCGTCATTATCGCTATCGTTAGCGTTGTCGTCATTATCGTTATAGTTATCGTTATCGTAATTATCCTTATCTTTAATGAGAAATTTGAAAATTTCCAGAAGGATGCAGACATCTGTCGGAAACTTAATATTTCTTTGATCACCTTCACTCAGTTGATGGAAAAAGTTTAAGGCATTACATTATAATGTATTCATGTATTTATCATGCGTTGATGTTCTTCAATGAAATAACAACAACTCAATATGTCAGGTATTTATTTAATAAGAATGCATTGTATAATCCTATAGTAAACTAAATAGATAGTGCTCAATCCTCATACACGAGGTTATATTTGAGGATAATTTCCGGAGGTAAATACCTTGCAATCTCACACAGAAATGATCTAAGGTTATAATTAATCATGTCACTACAAAACTGCTCAATAGTACAATCTTCTTGTAGATACTGCGCACACAACTTCTGCCCTTCCTCGTATTTCCGAATTAGTCTCCTGATCCTTTCAACCTGGTTATCATCCCAACAAATATTCATATCGTAGTTTGTTGAATGTTCAGCGTCATGCATCAAATCCGTTAACTGGCACACTAATCTCATGATAGCTGTACGTAGATCATTTGAATCAGGCCAACGCAATGATGCATAATGCATCCACATCTTGTCAAACCACAGGGGGTGTACTGCTTCTGGAAAGATAAATATAATGGTCAATATCAAGTGGAAAATGATATTTGTCAAAACAACTTTGCCTGCTGCATTCTCCTAACCCAGTTCTGATCTGAACCTTTATATTATTTATACTCAACATATTAGCCTATACTACCTCATATTTTTAAACTAATTACTACTGACAACAAAGTCAAATTTTATCAAACATTTTGAACGACTACCTGGTGTGTTTGGTGAGCTTTGGCCAATATACGCTAAAGAATATTTGTTTTGGGACTCATTTATACGAGTATCTTTAATCATAATTTCGGGCATGTTTTCCAATACTCTTTTAGGTAGCCAAACACTAAACTGATCAGAATCAGAAACAAGAAGGGTTGCTACTAGACATTGCCCAAATTTTGATTGAATACTTGAAATATTCTTAATAGGATAAGATTTGTTTACAGTTAATGATGATAATGTTCTAGATGGTATATTGTTGTCAGATTCGCAATTTATTTTATTGTTTATTTCATGCAAGGCTGAGGTAGTGATAGACATTATTAAAAAAATAAATATAGTGTCGGATAAATAATATAAAAGGATGCTCACCAAATGCTATCTGTTAGGTACTTCAAGAATATTATTTAGTCACTTATCGATGTTAAATGACTGAATTTGATTGATCATAGCTGTTGTTGTTTCACCATTCATATAATAACTAGCAGAGTTAGATTACCTTACAGCACCGCCGCATACAAGGAATTTGTACAACCCAGATAAATTTCAGGTGGCCCACAAAAAATATACAGTCAACATTTCTATTATTCTGCACCGGACAGCTGAGGGGCTTTACAATCGGCATGGCCATTGTGAGGACAACAATGCCTTAACAACACCTTCCATCGACGACTCTTTTTTCTATTTTAAACGCGTTCATGATCTGGGGATAGAAGCGCGAAAATGTTTTACAGTTCTTGATAGGGGACCGAACTGCTGTGTGGTTTTACAATTTGCAGGGTCATTGAAAGGGTAACAATGCCTTCCACGAGCTCATTTATACGATACAAATTTGTCGAACAACACGTTTTCGATGCTATGAGGATGGTCATTGAGAGAACTCAGAATTTAGACACCGCCGCCCCTTACCCCACCGCACCTTACTACACCGCACCACCATGGGTTCCGTCGAGCTATTTACCTGAGCAGAGTTAGATTACATTACTGCACAGGTGCATACAAGAGTTCAGGTAGTCTACAAAAAATATCGCACCACACACGGAGATTGAGAGGGCAACAATGCATTACATCGTTCGTCGACTCATTTTAGAATACGTTGGTGAACACGTTTTCGATGCTAACAGGACTGTCATTGAGAGGAGTCGGAATTTAAACACCCTCCCGCCCCTTACCCACCGCACACGACGATTGAGAGGGCAAAGAATGGCCATATCATCGGATTAAGGTGTAGGGATGACGAGATTGAAGTGGGAAAAGAGCGCTGCTGCTCGTTCCCCCGGTCGACGAGTTATAGTAGTGGGGTGAAGGTAGGTGGCGAGGAGGGAGGGACTCTCACCGTCGACTCATTTCTATTAAACAACACGTTTCCAATGCTATGAGGATGGTCATTGAGAGAACTCAGAATTTAAACACCCCCGCCCCTTATCCCACCACACAAACCACCCCTTACCCCCCGGGAGGATTTATAAATGGCACTTACATACTACTGCGTCCCTGTCCCCGCAAACCCCTCGCCATAAGCCATCAGCAAGCTGTAGCGCGAAAACTAAGCAATTTAGCAAAAAAATTGCAGAGACCTTTTTTGATGGCCCAAAAATTAGAAAAACATAAGTGTAAAAAAATCCCAGATATCCTAAGCCGTTTCAGATAAAAAGAGGTTTTTTAGGTTTTTCGTTGTTTTACAAAAAACGGCTGGTTTCCGGAAAACCGAATTCATACAACAATATTCGCAATGCTTTATAACACCATTACGCCAGCGGACATAATCGAAATAATAGTAAACCATGAGCAAACAGCACGACCAGTGGCGGCTCTACCATAAGGCCGCGCGCCCCCCCAGATAAAATGCCGTTAAAAAAGCATTGAATAAAGCCATTTTTATTTTTTTTCTAATTAGCTAACATTTTATTGAACCTATTATATATTAAACGTCACCCTAATTATTTTGTAAGAAATCAGTCGATTTTATCCTTATTTGCCCGGACTATACGGGCCGCATCGAACTTCGCGGCCGCACGTCGGTGTTTTCGAGCGCTTTCGATACGACTCGGTTAGAGTCGAGGTACAGTATTAACACAGCCGACGTCAACTACGAGCCGTGAACAAAGAAATCTGGCAACGTAGGTGGTAGTGTTACTCCCGCTGAGAAAACATAACCTTTTAATTTGTGATTTTGGAATCGCAGAGGCTGTAATTAAGAGATAAGCTTGTTTTCTAAGCTTCAAAGTGTGTGTATGTGTTCAAAGTGATCGGTGACTATAATATATGAGAAATAGACTCCAGTTGTAGTGCTTCGGTGCTTTAAAAATAAACTAAGAAGTGTGACTGTGGCTGTTCGCGCCTCAGGACGCTAAGGATTTCAACTATTGAAAACGTGCAAATTCTGGTTATATATATATATATATATATATATATATATATATATATATATATATAATACAAGTGTAATAAAAGGAGAATTGAAGCGAAACGAATTTTGTAAGCCTATTACCAATAAATATGATTATAGAGTACAATTTTTAAAAAAATTCCTGCTATGGTTAGAAAAATGGAATAATCTAGAGAATAATAATGGACACCTGACACCAGAAACGTATACACGCTGACTCTACTTAATATAATTGAATATTCATTTAATCAATTTGACATTGAGTATGTATTGCCTGGAAAATTCACCACTGATAATTTAGAAAAACGATTTGGCAATTATAGACTTTTATGTGGCTGCAATTACAATGATGAAATTTCAAATGCTGAAAAGAAAATACGGCTGAAGCATATTTTCAATGAAAAGAAATCGTCATTTTCTTTAGCAGAAATTAAAACAAGGTTCCAAAACTGCTTAGAATCTCAAGAAAATTTTGATTTCTTGGATACCAAACAAAATCCTGAAGTTTTGGATATATTCAATGAAGTATTTGAGACAAATTACTTAGCCACTTGTGACATAGAGGATAGTACTAAGACTTATATATCTGGATATGCTTCACACGCTACCTCTAAAAACCTAAACTGCGAGATATGCAAATCGCTAATAGTTAAAGAAAAAGGTTCATTAACAACAAATGTTTATTTTGATCATTTGCAAAGAGGAGGACTGTCAATTCCAACCACTTATGTACCAATCATATTCTAGCATATGTATGCCATTTTTGAATCTATTATTAATGTAGATAGATTGGAAATTTTCTTCTTGAAAAGCAATAGTCAAAAATTTATTTTGTGTCAGTTAACCTTGCTCAGCATTCAGTCTGACTTTATATACAGTGAATTTTCTTTAACTTGCATCTGTGGCCGCAATTATGCAGATATTTTATCTAAGCTTTTGTCTATTTTTTCAAACATAATTTTGAATGATTATGTAAAATTGAAAAATAACAGTAAAACTGAAAGTAAATGTATTAAAAACAAACAGGTAACTCCACATTTCCAAGCTGGGCCTGTTGGAACATAGTGTGCTGACACCAAAAAACGTAAACTAAATACTTTTAATTAGGTTAACTGCATTAGCGACTCATATATATCACGATTTTTCGAATTTTTAAATTTTTTAGAGCTATTTCATATTCAGATGATTTGTATCGAATCGAACTGACCTCTTTTCCAAAATTAAATTTAGTTCTTGGACGTTACACGGAGACGGAGCACACAGCCGCTGGCGGCCGACGTTCACAGGTAGCACTACCATGCCGTCCGAGCGCGGTGTTGCCTTTCTTTCATCACGGCTCGTAGTTGACGTCGGCTGTGGTATTAATAGCTATGCTAGGGCGCATTATTTGTTCAACGAAGAAGGATTGCAAGACCTCTCGAAGCATCCATCTTCGATGAAGATATCCAGTGGAGCGACAATGTCAAATATCTGGGGATCGTTTTTGACAAGTCCCTCACCTGGAAAGCGCACATAGAAGCTGTCATCGCAAAAACCAGAGCAGCCATGGCTCAACTCTATCCATTACTGGGTAGACACAGCCAGATGCCGCTAGCGACCAAGCTACGGCTGATCAAGGCCATCGCCAGACCTCAGCTCGCTTACGCCTCCGCGGTCTGGGGGTACGCTGCCCCCAGCTACCGCAAGCGACTTGCTGCTCTAGAGATGAAGCTACTCCGGATCGCCACCAATGCACCTTCCTACGTAAGGAACTCAACCTTGCGTAGAGACCTGCATTGGGATACCATCCACGAGTACATGAGGAAAAAAGCGGAGAAGACCTTCGAGAAAGCTCAGGACCACCCGAACGAGCAGCTACGATTCCTCATGGACTACGATCCGGACGAGAGGCCTCGCAACCGCAGAACCAGGTACCCCAGACCAAGGTCCCAGTTGGCACCCGCTAACTGGAACCTTGACTAGGAGACTAGGAGAATTTGCGGCTGCTCCCCCCCCCCCACGGCGTGGATGCAGAGGACCAGGAACCACCGGGACCAGGACCCACCGGGACCAGGACCAACCAGGACCAGGACCCGCCACGACCAGGACCCACCAGGACCAGGACCCTTCAGGACCAGGACCAGGAACAACATATTGGTAAGATGACTTGAAACTCTTGATTTTTCGAAAACAAGAGTTTCAAGAGAAACTAGCAGACCCTCTATCGATGATCGCTTAACGACATCGATAGAATGTGCGAGGTAAAGGGAACCAACCCGGCGTTCCCAGAGACTGAAACACATGAGGAGACGTTGTAGCAGACCGCAGGTCACGCACAACACATGGCCTACCGAGACGCTGATGAGTCGGGCCACGCGGAGGTTTAGGGTTTAGTGGGTATTAGGTGATCTCTTCAAGACCCTGGAG